TCCTTAGGTACAAAAAGAAAGGAGCCAGCTTGTGCTAAAATTTTGTGGTACAGCTCAGTGGCGGTTCCACAGCTCAGTCCACAGTACAGCTCAGTGGCGGTTCTTTTTCCGGGGGAGGGGGGACAAAAATTTTTTTGGATGAAAATGTATGGCGTGGTGTTGACGGACTCAGAAAAATTTTTTTGGATGCTTTCCAAAATGTTTGCGGGCCCATAACCCCGAAATGTTAGAAAAAAGGGGCGTGGCTGTCACACGTCACCGAAAATTTTTTTTCAAAGGCTGTTGAATATTTGATTCTTCAAATATTGTGTCTATTCACAAATAGCAAGTCACTTGCATTTTGTAACTCTTGTGGACTTTTTTCAAAATTTTCGCGGCCCATTCTTGGCAGGAGGGTGAGGGAGGGGGAACGAGGAGCCCCTCCCCCTCGGTCCGCTGCTGGGTACACCTAGTATGTGCACCAAGGGTTAGAAGGATGACAGTTTGGCAATAATGACATAATCTCCTTGGTCCAAAAATTTAAGAGCAGTACTGTGGGCCGTAAGCATTCACCTCAACCGCAAAACTCTCACAATCAGAATCTACATCATATGAAGTGTACCTTGACTTGTATTTATTTGGTACAACAAAATTCAGCTACTTGTTGACTTATATCTCTTTGAGTTACGGCTAAGATCTTAATGATACAGCTTGAGAAACTGGAGCAAATCAAAGATAAGCGATAGCGCTTTGCTTAAAAACTCTATACCACAATGTTTCAAGGCACTGTGTTTAGGGCTGCGCTGGGATTACCGTGATCGCTACTAGTTTTCGGCACAGAACAAGGTCTTACAGTAATCATAGGTTATTTCATCACTTAGGAGCTTCGCAATGCAAATTGTAAACGTGACATCGTTAGAAGCGAGGCTCGGCACAACCAAGAAGCAGATTTTTGGAAGCCATCCTTTGATTTACCAAATCCTACGATATCCTCCTTACCATTTTCAGAGCTCCTAAGGGGGCCGCCAACATAAATGATAGCTTGTACCGGCCATATGCGTTGCGTAGGCCAAATCTTTCACAAACTCTATATTAGCATGATGAGAAAAAGCTGAAAAAAACGCTGAGAGTATAATGGCCCCTAGTCATTACCTTTGGCATTCTCGATCCGGCGGACAACGTATTGCTCCGCAAAGGACGACTATATGCGCGGCATAATGGCAACCGTAGGACTACCGTATGCTAACCGTTCATCTTGGCTCACACTCGCTCTTTACCTCCAGTTTTTTGGTCTGTTCCATCCTAGAATATTAGGTTGAACACTAAGTTTTGCAACTTTTCTCATAACTTCCCTCTCACTCAACATGGTGCACTCAAATTTTGCCACTGTGTTGGTTATTATGTATACTACAAGCGCAGCTGCTGTCCTACCAAATTCTGACGTCGCAGTGAGGGTTACGGTAGGTGTATGGTATGAAGGGGAAAAATTCAAAGTTTGACGGATTTGGCTGAAACTTGGCATAGGGATGTTATCCGACATGCTGATCACGAAAGCGATAGTGAAATTGCGTGATAAGGGCTTTTTTGTAGGATTACTGTAGGTGTACGATATGGGGTCTCACCCTAAACAAGGAAAAAGGCGTTGATTCAACAAATGAATATGATATTCGCATTCGGCAGGTCAAATAACCTTACTATGTGAGGTCTCGGCGGAATTTGAGCTTCGGACTCTTTAGTCATTGACGGTCGTCCCCAGCAGCTCTTGCGTACATCGACTCGTTCGACTTTATGAGGACGCCAAATCTCGACATGCCCATAAATTTTGTTTCTTTCTTGCTAGGCCAAAGGAGTCAACCTCTTGCAATAATTTGCAGACGAATTCGGATTACTGCTCATGGTCTAAGCTGCCAAAGGCTTCATTTTAGCTTGAAACCTCAAAAATTCTCAAATTTTACTAGTTTTCGAAAAATGCCTGAAACTTTTCTATTTCGTGTTCAAAATTCAGACAATTTGTGCTCACTTGTAGCTCACATTGCATTCTACATGATGTCAAAGTTAGTGCGCCATGTTGAATGAGAGTGAAGTTATGAAACAAGTTGCAAAACTTAGTGTTCAACCTAATATATGTATGTAGACACCGGAGAATTCCCATCCATTTATTACACAACATTCTCAGAAATTCCAATAAAACATTTTTTATGAAATCAGTTACTGCACATGATATTCTCTATATGCTATTTCGACAGAATACTTCCAATATCTATCGCCAACGCCTTAAAAATTCGTAGATCTGTACTCTCTGAAGGAAGAATCGCTTCAATATGGGTTCTTCTTCTTTTGCCACAGTGACGAGCAGAATTGTTGAACAACCTTACCTGAATATTCTTTCCAGCTAAAAAAAATTGTTAAACTACAAGAATCGTTTCAATGCTCGTCGATCTCATGGAGTGACATGTCTCTCGTGAAGTATCTGATCTTCTTGTTATACAGAGTGCCCCAAAAGTATGGCCCTGTTCAATCGTTAATATCTCTCTTCCCAAAAAGTCTTTCGCCTAACTTCAGGTACCATTTTGTAGAGCTGACTTCAACTTAAGTTCATAGAGCGAACAACCCAATCGCTCTTCATTACTGTAAGATAGGTAGGAACCTTTGGCCTACAGCGTCATTGTAGATTCGAAAAAAGTTTCCAAAATTTTTGAAATGCTGGGTATCAGAGAATCTACGCGCGCGATTTCATTACTCAACTTTTCAAGAATTTGTGAAACTTTTCACATGGTGTAGTTACAATTTTAGGAAGTATTGCAAAGGCAGCTATTGCGGTTTACTGTCATAAGTTATGAAGGATGCATTGCGGTAGCAATGCAAAGTTTATATTTCTTTTTTGCGACTTCAAGCAGCCTAGTGTAAGAGTTTCTAAGTTGCTTGGTTTGCTTTGTGAGGCGAAAGAGGGCCCTCAATGGCTCAAAACTCTTCTTGAAGTTCCTACCGTAATACTGTAGTGAGGAATGATCCGTGATTCGCTCCATACTATAAAATTGGAGTCAGCTTTAAAAAATGTTACCCGAAAGTAGGGAAAGGACTTCTGGGGGAGACAGATATTAACGGTCAAATAGTGTATACATGTATACATACTTTTGGGACACCCTGTATGTTGCAGATTATTGCGAAGTTTCTCGTTTTCACCACAATGCGATCAGAATGAATTTGTCCCTATGTAAATCATGTCGTATGTGTCCGCTGTCGTAATATCACGCAGTGTGATAATGATATCATCAGCGCGGCAAGTACAAACCCTTCGTTCAACACATTCCAATTTGAGAAGCAAATCTCGCAACGGAGCGGGGCAATAAATTAGTTTGCGTTGCGCTTCCACAGTAGCCGGTTCCCTCAATCAAAGCTTGGGAATATGAATCTAATAAGAGATTGATGGATGGCCTAACGTTCTATCTGCCCACCGTGCACTGCTACTCGTGCCAAGTCTGATTGCTGTAATCTTTATTAGCAGCTATTTCATCACCATCTACTTATGCGCAGATGTTTACAGGAGAATGGAACTCTAATGTAGTTTTTGTTATAATCTTTATCAAGAGCTATTTCATCACGATCTACCTTTGTGGAAATTAAAAAATCCTCAAAAAGATGAGTTTTGTCAACAAGAGCTTATAATTAAAACCGCTACTACATTTATCTACTTCACAAGCTTTTTCTGTTCGAAACAGAGCGCTAACAGAGCTCCTTTTTTGAAAGGCAGTAAGTGCAATTCATCAGACCGTAAAAGTCCATATGATACTGTAAAAACTAAACATTCGGCGTTCAAAGCCTAGGTTACTTTGAAAATGCACGTGTTGCTGTGTGTTCCTTGTGGTTTTACGAGCAGATGTGAAAAAACTTTTCTACCCATTTTTTTGTGTCTAGTGTAATAGTGAGCAAATGTCGAAAAAAAATTTATTCTGCAAAATGATGAGGTTGGTAAATTGGATATAATTGAGGATAAATACACATGGCAGTGCAGTGCTGGATGTCATACAGTACACGCTCGGTTGCCGGTGGTATGGGATACCGTAACCGAGCGTGCGCTAAGCACAAACGGCCGCTGCCAAATGACCTAATCATATTACCTAGAGAAAGACGGTCAGTGACGAACAGGCCAGCTAAACGTTTAAACTAACTCTTAGAGTGAATAATCACAATAGGGTAGCGCGCATATGAGGGGGGTGGGTGAGTGAGAGAATGATAGGGTGTTCGAATACAGTGCCTCCCGCTAATCCTGACCTGGACGCGTGCGGATGCGCACGATTTGCCGGCACGAACAAAAATGAAGAACGGGGAAGAGCAAGAGAGTTTAAGAAGACGCGGGAGTGGACAGCCATCTCTGCGAGAAGCTGCGCGCACGGTAATTGCCATGTTTTGGTAGCCGGCAAACAGCGCGCAATTGCGCGCGGTCGTTGGTCGTATGCGGTACCCGTCTTCGCGGAACAGCGGAAGGCAGCGTCATCTGTCAGCCCGAGAGCAGGGTTACAAATTTACCAGGGTCTGGACGGCGGTCGCTCCGCAGGCGGCGCGCGCGCCGCCCCCTTCGCGGCCGCCCTATACAGCACATCGGGGGGTTACATCCATCAAAACTAGAAGCACTCAGCCATATGAAAGACATTCGGTGTACATTAGTGATTATTAGATAATCGTGGAACCGTATTGGTAGAAGTTTCTGATGATACCCAGGAGGACTACCAATGGGCGGGGCCACAATCTGACGAGGGAGAGGAGTTCAATGGGGGCGTTTTTTGGAGCATTTCTGGGGGAGCATATAAGTGGATATCGACGAGGCATACATATATAACACATACAAAACAACAAACAGACACACATGGGGAATAAATGAGGAAAGCAGTCGAGGTGTCCGTTCTGAACGGCGAAAGCACGGTAGTCATCTACGCAGCCACTGCCAAGCGGTTCTGCCGAGACGACGAAAGCACGGTAGCGAGTTGGCGCCGACACACATTGCGTACTGCGGACCATCGCCGTCAGTTCTTCACACACACGATCCAATCAGGACCAGGTGCTGATTGTGCTGGTGGTGGTGGTGGTTCTCCAATCATACTGGGTGGACACGAAAGACCGTTGGCTAGTAGCAGGTTGTTGGCCAGCGCCGGCGAATCTCTGAAACAGTTGAGCATTAGCGTGTTCGCGCCGTGGGGACAGTATCCTTACGCTATGGGGGCTATTTTTACACCTCCAGACTAAAAGCTTCTATTGTTTCAACCGTAATGCACTTGAACGGAAATCAAATGGTACAAACCAAGTACGACACGAGGACTTTCGTGTCTCGTTCTAGACTAAAGGGTGGAGAGTACAAGCCGTTTTTCCGGCAATTTTAACTTTTTAAGTTGATAATCCAAAACTGGGAGCAAGTTCATATATAGCTCGATAAAATAAAAATTCTGTCTTAGACTGTAAATAAAGGAAATCTAAAAACGATTCAGCGATACAGCTGAAATTTGAAAAGGTTTCGATTTTTGAAGAATTTTCCAAATACATTAGACACCATATAATGAAAAAGATTTGCAAAAATGTCCTAATATTTATAAATAAATCCACTAAGCTCGATTTTTAACTTGAAATAGTAAATTGAACAAAACTTCAAGAAAAGATGGTCTGCCAACAATTCAAGACTCTATAGTTTTATCTTTGAGATTTTAGCGTATTAAATAGTTTCGTAAAGCGGTTAAAAAGAACTTGAGAGTTGTCAAATTGTATTATTTTCAGAAAATCTATTCTCAATAGTTTGTATGTATTGTATTTAAAACAAGTTTCATTTCAATGTGTGAAACCTACACTTCGTACATTCTTCTGGCTAAATCTACAATAATATGAAGATATGAACCGGGTTCCCAGAAAGGATTTACTTTCGAGATTTGAAGGTTTCTTTCTCAATTCAAAGCATATGATTTTGAGGTGGTGACATGACTGCCTTTGCAACAAAAATACTTGACCAGAAAGCTATCACTTTTGTCTAATCCCTATCAATGAAACCAATAAATCATGCCGAAAATCCACGAAACGCTGTTAGCTGGATGTTTCCGATGGTATGACCAAAATTCGCTAACAACCATCAGACAAGCACTTGGTTCGTGCATACACGCAGCTGCAGCTGGGCTTTGATGAGAAAAACATTCCTCTTTTAGAGATCTGTTTGAACACAAATGCGTGCAAAAACGATTGCATTCAGATTATGGATAGATAATAATAGCCACACATGTATCAAAACGTGATTTTATTGAAAATGCGTACAGTAGCCGCCGGAAAAAGGAAAGGGAAAAGATGTTGAAAAAAAAATCGGGGGTGATACTTTGGTATGACGGTAAAAAGTAGGGAAAAATCAGGATTATACAACGCATACAGTAGCGGCTATATTCAGGAGGGAAAAGTTTTGCGGGAGAGAGGGGAGGAATGATAAAAGAAGTATCGAATCTAGGGCTTCAAAATGAAGTAATTTAACTATCTACAATTTATTATCAAAGGGCGAGGAAAAATTACCTGTTGTTCTTCGTGATGTTCAGCACCTAGACATGCGCGGTGAGTTGATCTCAATCAGTTGAACTGATTAGAGACCAGATTTCGCCGAAGTCTAAGATGGGGCGCGGCGGGACCCAGATGAAGCTGAGCGTCAGCTCATTCCTGGAATAAACAGAAGTAATTTGGGACGGATAAACCGCGAATTTATGCCGAAAGTAACGCGAGAATTATATTTCATAGGTCGGAGATATCAGAAACATTAGAGTTTATATCGTCTTGCCATTTGTAACTTAATATGCGTATACTGCACACCATGCGCTCTACTTGACGACTACGAGGATTAGAACCTGCTCATTTGCGATGATTTCTCCTTGTTTCCTTGTCTCTTTGATTTGAGCGGATATATATCAAATAACACTACACATTTTCACACTTTGTTACGCAAGAAAAGAATTTTATTGACAAGTTTAGTAAGGGTGCCGTCGGTTGCCGCGCGTAGTGTGCAGACACATATTCAGTGAGAAATACAGGAGGATAGATCAGTGAGCGTTAGTGAATAGTGGATGAATAGTGATCTTATCAATTCTATCGGTATTCAGACGATTTGAAAAGGGCAAAAACGGGTAGAAAAATTGTGTATACAGCTCAAAATAGCTAGTTGAATGTGTACGATGACGGAATGCAGTAAAGAGCGTTCGTTCGTTGGCCACACGTCCAAAACAACTAGGAAACAGCAGCAGAGAGACAACAAAACAAGCACAGAGCATCGCCACACACAGCTTCTCTCCGAAAAACATGAGCGCATCGCCAGTGCGAGTGGCGGCGGAGGACCAGCGCCAGCGTTCAGCAAACTGGTTCCGAACATAGCCGGATTCCGTCAACCCTACGGCGCTGCTGCTGTTGCTGTTTGCTGCTGCGGGGAGGGTGGGGGGAGAGGGGTGATTGGCCCCCGTGGACGGACTGAACATCGAAGTGACCGAAGCGAGTGGAATCCTTGGCCGGTGGTGGAACAACTGTTCCCACGCGTTTTCATAGACAAAAGTTCGAGCAACGGAATCGCTTTACAATGATTTGGTCTGGAGGGAGAAAATGGAAAACGACTGCCTGAGAACGGGGAGGGACAGCTAGCACGCGGTTTCGCGACGAAAGTCCGACTGTACCTGCTGGACTCGAGCCTCGAGACTAAACCGCCGAGACGTCGTCGTCCTTGGAGTACGCGAATTGATGTAGGACGTACCGCTTGCACTTTGGACCGATAGAGTGCGAATCCGCAACAGCGGCCGGGCGTAAATTGATTCGAAAACGGGGGGAGGGGGAGTGGTCTGTGTGTGTGTGAGTGTGTGTGCGCAGTTTCAGGAACGCATTCCTCGTCTCTGACTCATCTTTCCTGAACTTGCCTTGAAGGGGATAAAAATAGAAGGGGCCCGAGAACTCGTCTCTCCAGCTCTCCTCGCAACACATAGGAGTGGATCCAGAGCGTGCGCGCCCGGTCGAGTTCGAGTGTGTGCGGCTGCGCGGCTAATCGCTCTACCAGACGAACCGGTCCGAAACGAGCACCATCGCACTAACGTAACAGCAGCTAAAACGCGATGCTGAGTGGAATGCAACGAGTGCGCCGCAGCCAGCTGGCTGCTGAAGAAGCTGCAACGATTACGGTAGCGCGCAGTGATGACGTCGCCCCGTGTGTGAGTATATTCGCGTTTTGTTTTGCTTCGTGCCCGTGTGTCCGCATTTAGCTCTCCACGACGTCCACGCCACACACGGGGCGGGCCGTTTGGCCCGGCTTCAAGTATCGATCCCGGCAGGACACACTGACCAGCTACGTCTTGCTGCTGTACGAATATTGACAGCCGGCGAAATGGCGTGGAGGTGACGGGAAGCGCGACGGAGCCGCGAGGGTGCATGTCAGTAGTGCGAGACGTAGTAGAACGAGAGCGCAAGCTGCTGCGCGAAGACATGAATAATTCGAGGCAGCGGAATGAGCCAGAACTCTTGGCCGAGATCCAGGGACATTGAACTAGACGACCCGAAGAGGGCGAGACAGGGACGATGTGGGCTTAGTGGGGGTGGCGCAGCTGAGAGTACGAGATTTGAGTGCGATAAGGGGACGAACAGAGATTTGGTTTGGCAGAGGAGAACGTTCTGACCTCGTAATCAGCTGATTTCCAAGGTGAACAAGAAGGAATGAAAAAAACTCTTAGAGAAACGCTAATGTCCACTGAAATCACATGAATACCCGAAAAATAAAAAAAGCTCCGCAATGACTACAGAACATCAAAACGGATCTTTGATGTTTCTGCGTCGATGAACCCTTTAAAATTTCGATTCACATGCTATTTTCGTTACCGATGGATCCATAATTACCGTTCATTTTGCTCGTGAGAGATGACTAATTTTTTTTCAAAAAGCTGCACTAAATTAGTTTTTATTCTTCACGGAATAATGCTAGTACTTTGGTCTATAAGTACAACTTCCCAAGAACGCAACAAAACAAATCCCAAAGCAGAACCCTCAAGATAATTTACGGCAATAACAAAGATCAAGAGATACCGCAGTCGAAAAAGGAGTTAAGAAGAAAATCTCATGAACTTTTCAGCATTTCGCCGACACCGGCGTGAAGGGTGAAGGCTGGTTGGTCGATCAGAAAACGACGAGAGAGGAATGTTCAGTGAACGTGAAGGTACGAAGCAGTGCATAGCAAAGTGCGATGCACTTTCGTGCACTCCTTCATCTTCTTTCGCCGGCACGCCGGGGGTAGAGCGGGTGGTGGTGGCGGAGCGGCGGGGCGACGGCGGCGACGACGAACTGAGGAAGGGGTGCGACGGGGCCCGGAGGGGAGGGCGTAGTAGAATGCGAGTGTGTGTGTGTGGGGTGAGTGTGGTGATCACGCACTGAAGGGGCAAAACGGGTGGCAGGGGGAGGGTGGTTCGTTGAATTCGTTAGCGGTTGGGTGTCGAGTCGGCTTGGGTGGTCTGAGCTGTTTAAGAAGACTAAGCGCTCAAGCCCTCTTTGACGATGAGTGGACTGGGTCCTCAGAATGTCTGTTTAAAGTCCCCACAAAAACCCCTTACGCTCCGCAGGACGAGGACGCGTACGCGGGTTTTTCATAGAACACACCACAATAGCGACACTAATCGTGTTTTAGAGTTCGCGTTCTGTGCTGATAGTGCGGTCGTCCCGGTGCCTCCGTTTGTCTGCGCCCCCACCACCGCCGCCGCGGCCGAAGCGCTCGGCTTTGAAAGAAGAAGAGTTTTCCAGGAATCATGAAGAGTGCACAACGACCCTGCAGATAGGCACCACCCCACTTGCACTTTGTAAGATCGCCCGGTCGCCGCAAAAATTGTGTGCATTCCGAGATTGCTACGCATTTGTGTGATTGTGATGTGTGCAAAAGTGCGTGCAGCGCGACGGGGTCGACGTGGGTGCGTACATGGGCTGTTGACTCACACTCAAGTGTTACTGTGCTAGTTCGGGCCCGATCCGCCGGTCGTTCCGTCGTCGTCGTCGTGAGGTTCGGACGAAATACAAACAGATTTGATGGGCAATTGCTCGCACGAAGCGCGCGGTTCAGTGAAGGTGTTCGCAAGTGAAAACCGCGGTGAGAGTGGGGAGAAGTGGGCGGATAGGTTGTGGGAAAGCTGATTCACCTTCTAAGAAAAGAGAAAACAAGATTTATACTTTAACACCTTTCCTCAAACAAAAATTCGTGAATAAAGTTTCTCTAAATTTTTTCTTCCCCTTACCTAGGTATCAAGGGCCTATATACCGACAAAAAAGGCGTTAGTAAGGTCGAAGGCGACGGGCTATACCGTACTTCATGGTACGACTTAGGTACGGTATCTGTACTTGTAGCAAAGTGTCAGGTGATTGCGGCATTACCTCTTCTCCAAAGCACCTCTATCTCCTTTCCTTAAGCAGTAAGAGGCCATGCACCGAGAAACCCCATAAAATCAAGGGCCGTGGTACAGTAGCTCACTTACGGGACCACGGTACGGTATGGACGGTATACTGTACTTGTGCCAGCTGAGCACATTTGAGCTTTGATTGAAAGAACACACTCATTCGCTCCTCAACCTCATTTCCCACCGTAACTACGTCCAAATGATAAAATTATAGAGAGGACCAGACGAGAGGGGCTAAATGCAGAAGCGGAGAGTATCATCACTACGTTTGTTCCCTTCTCTCCTTCCCCCCCCCCCTCCCAAATTTACCAGTACGGGTTAGGCCTCGCCTTGATTTCCATAGTCTTTCTGTTCTGCTATGCATTGCCGCCATTATGGAAAGGGTATCAAAAGTGCATTCATCAAATATTAAACCGGGTACGCAAGGACTTTTCATGAAATTTACATTATCCGCTGCTGCTCGCAAGCGCAGGAACTATAGACCCGGTTCTGAGAGTGCATTTAGTAGTTTTCTGTGCCAGCAATTCCATAGCAATGGATCAACAGCTAATACGTGCAAGAGATTTCGCTTCGCTACATGTGCTGTGTGCTTTCAATTAGACCGGAACTAGCAGCTTTTCCACAAGAATTCTTACAACCTATACATAGATGAAAAAGCAAAGTGTTCGCGTATAGCGAAAGTGCAAGTAGTCTTGCGGAAAATTTTTGGTTTTGTTGGCACTAGTACGAAGCGACGAGAAGCGATTCGAAGAGTGCAAGAGTGGTGAGCTGAGCAAATATCATGTTTTATGGGAGATGAATGATAGTAGTGCACTTCAAAGACGAGAGAAAAAACTTGCTTTTCTTGACTCAACTGCTCACTGCACTACGCAACCAACGAACGATACAAAAGAATTCGTTCACTTTACATCAAACAAACAAAAGCGATAGGTTCGGGAAAATTAGAAGTGAAAACTAGAGGAATTTTAGTTTTTCTGGAAATGACAAGAAAGGTTAAACGAAGAAATTTTGCTTTCCTTTATCAACAAGAAAAGCGATAGCTTGAGGTTCTAAGAAGTTTGAGAGTCAAAAACTGAAGGAAATTCAACTTTGTCTCAAAAATGACAAGAAATGACTGATAATTCAGAAAAAGTGTAAGTAGAAAT